AAAAAAAAAAAAATATTCAATAAAAAAAAAAAATTTAATTTTGTAATTCATTTTTTTTTTATCTGGATATTAAAAATAATTTTTATTAAAGATATATATTTATAATTTTTTTTAATTATTAAAATTTTCATTTTTCATTTTTTAATTATAAATATAAAAGGAAAAAATTGTAGATTCATGTTTTTTACTTTTTATTTTAATTCGAACATTCGAGTAAATTAGATTATTTATAAATTTACATAAATATATATATATATATATATATATATATATATATATATATATATATATATATATAAATGTTATATTTAACTGAGTTTATTTAATATATATTTACATATATATTTATATAACCCTTAAATATATATTTTTATGAAATTAAGTACTCATAATTTTGAGAGTACAATTTTTTGCTTTTATATTTTGAATTAACTTTTTTTTAAGTACCTAATACATTTATGAATTAATTATTTAAAGTTTTTACTTTTTTTATATTTATTAATATATATAGAATAAAAATTAAAAGCAAAGTTGTATTTCAAGTATTAATTTTTAAAAAATAGAGATAGTAAAATTAATATACATGTATATATTATAAGCTTAAACATGCATACACATTTTTACACACTTTCAAATTTAATAAAAATTAAATGAGTCAAAGATACATTTTCATTGAGCTTATTTATCTACATAATTATTTTAAATTTTATTAAATAAAAGTAATATATTAAATTTTTTAATTTATGAGTTTTACAAAATATTTTAAGTTAATTTTCTTTATAATAAAATAAAAGCCATATTTAAATTTTGATATAATTACAAATTAATTTTGTTTTTAATTAATATTTTACACTGTTGTAAATATTAACTTTATGTTTTAACCAATGATAATTTATATAAATTTTATTTATGTTAACTTTTTTACTCTTTGAATACATTTTTTCAATAACATATTATAATACTTGAACGCTATTCTATCAGAGAGTTTTTCAAAATAATATGTGAATAAGAAATATTTCTTTCATTAAAATTACATAAGATATTTTAATTTTATATTTTTAAGAACTCTATTGACTTTCAGTATACTTTTTTATGTTATTATAATAACAAATTAACAGAAGAAAACTTGTTAAATTAAATAATGAAATAAAATTATATAAATTTCAATTTTTTTTTTTTTAAGAACATGCAATAAAAAAACTAAATAATTTAAAATTACATGTATAATATTTTTTTCTATATATTTATTTTATATACACATATGCATGCATACTCTTACGTAGATATATACAGATACAAGCGAAAGAACATAAAAAATGCACACACATATAAATATATTAGTAAATATATGATTCATTTATTTTTTTCTTTCTTTTTTTTTTTTTTTTTTTTTTTTTTTTTTTTTGTAATGAAGCATTGATATATTATAGAACAAATTTGACTCTTAAAAAATGAAAACATGTTTCTCATTAAGGACAAAATGAGTCTACAAATTTTTTGAAAAATTTAAAAGTTATTTGGTAATATAAACATCGACAATATAAAATATCAAACAAAACACAGAAGGTTTTAATTTTTAAACAGTTAAGTTTTTTTGTTAATTTTGTAAATTTTTGTTAATTTAAAATTTTTTTTTTACTTTTTAATTTTATTATTTTTAACATTACACATACATAAATATATTGACATAAATATATATTTTACATATAATTTTTTTTTTTATTTTCTTTTTTTTTTTTTTTTTACATATCAGTTCAGAAAAAAAGAATATATATATATTTATATATATAGATATATATCTTTTACAACTAGCGAGGAATTTTTATATATTACGTACGCGTTCGTGTATTAAAAAATATAAACTCTGTATATTTATATGTATGTAAATGTATGTATACACATTTTGAGCTTTATTAAATTTTTGTTTTTAAAAAGTGTAATTAAGTGAAATATTTATCATAATTAACATGCAATATTATTTTAATGTTATTTATTGTTTTAAGAGTGAGTATAAATATTGTTTATTTAATCATGTGAAATTGTAATTTATGAAACTTCTTATATTTTTGCTTGTTTGTTCTTTTTCCGTAATAAATTTACATAAAATTTATATGTGAATATACTCTTTGTAACATTATAATTTCTCTATATTTATTATTTATTTTTTTATTTTTTCTTCATAACTTAATTCTTTAATAATTTATTTGTTGTATTACCGATGTTTGTGTACTTTTGAGTTTTCTTAATATATATGGTTTATGTAAGTATTTTTTTAGAATTTATTTTTGCATCATTTATAAAAAAAAATTATGAAATATACATGTATTATTTTTTTTTGAGCTTTATATTTTACAAAGGTTTTAAATATTTGTTAATTTATTGACTTTTTTTTAACACATATAATTATTAATATTGTTCTACTATCTTTTATTTCAACTTTTATATTGAGAATTTAGACTTGATACACGGGTTTAACATATGTATATATGTTTGTACATAGTACTGTATATAATTTAATTAGATTATATTATTAATTTTATATATATTTTAAAATGTCAAGATAAAAATAAAAAAAAAAAAAAATGAAAAAAAAATCGTTAAATTTATATAATATATTTTATTTTTGCAAAGTTTTAACGGTGTATTTATTTATTTATTTATTTTTTTTTATATCTATATATATATATTTTAATGGATAAGAAATATATTTTTGAATATTAAATTCAAGAGAATATATTCAAATCGAGTAATAATATGAAATTGTTAAAAAAAAAAAAAAAATATTGAAAAAATTTTGATTCTTTTAGAGTAAAAATGAGTAATTGTAGTCTTAAATGCAGTATATTACCGTGCATACATACATTAAAAAATAATAATGAGTTAGATTTTTATGGATCAAAGGAAAATATTTTACAGAGATATAAAAATGAATTAAATATAGACAAAAAAATGGAAGATTTTAAAAATATAAGTGATAATTGTAATGTGGATAAGAAGTTAAATGATAAATCCAATATGCAAATAGAAAAATGTATTAAGAGTAACATGAACATTAAATTAAAGGAATTTAATTTTGAGGAACTTACCAATTCGTTTCAGAAAGATAAAAAGAATATATTGTTAAATACATATAATTATTATTTCCATAATAATTTTTTTGATTTAAATGAAACAGAGAAAAATGAAGAAACAAATATAAACATTCATTATTACAAACGTTTATCTCTTAATATTATGAGTTTTGATTATGAGAAAGATTATAAGCAAGATAAATGTAAAGATAATGAGAAACCAATTTTATTTAAATCTGAAAAGTGCAATTTTAATCAAAAAATTTTTAGAACTGCTTCGTATGACGACATTTTTTTAAAAAAAATAAAAATCAGTAGAATAGATAAGAGTGAAAAAAAATGTATTAAGAAATATAAAATTCCATTTGAACCTAATTTTTATAGTAACCGATTTTTTTTTTCAGATAAATATATTAATGATGATTCACTTCATTTAAGTGATAATTGCACAAAGTATTGCAATTCATTGTACATTAATAATGATAATTCAGTCTTAAATACGAATAAAAAGAAATTTAAAAATTTTATAACTCATATATTATATATATTGCGATTTGAAGGTCCACCACCACATTTTTTAATAATAAAATTTAACAAAAAAACTAAAAAGGCTGTTATAGTTAAAAAGGTACCAGTAAATAAGAATATTTCTTTTAATATGGCTAAATTCATTGCAGAAAAATATATACAAATTCTAAGGAAAAATTTAAGAAAAAAAGAAAAAAAAATGGAAAAGATAAGAAATAGTGATAATAATTATGATAATAATCAGATGATTGTTAATAATTGTTATGTTAACGACGAGATTAATCATTATAATAATCATTTTGAATTTAAAAGAGACATTGATAATAATTTAGATTCTAATAATAATAATAATAGAAACATTGATAGCTCAGAGAGAAGTTTAATTAAAAATGATAAAATCTTAAATGAATTTAATGAAGACTATTTTAATAATTACCTTTTAAATACTGACATAAATTCCTTAAGTTATGAAAATTATAATTCGGAAAATATCTGTAATGAAAAAATATGTGCAAATGAATATTTAAATATTGATTTAGAAAAAATTGTATTTAACACATATACAGAAAAATATATAAAATTTTTAAATAACATTAAAATATATTTTTTAAAAAAGGTTGATGATATAAAGAATTGTAATATTAATAATAAAAATAACACAGAAAATAAAATAGTTATTTTAGTAAATATAAAATATGGTTCATCAGTTAAATCGAAAATTTTTATTTTTGTAAATCAAGAAGATATGAAAAGTGAATATGAATTTATAGATATAGTGAATAAAAAACAAAATGATAATACTTTTTCTTCCATATTGTATAAAAATACCAACAATAGTATAAATGAAAGTTACAATAATTATAAAAATAATTCTAATGGTTCAATAAATAGTGATACACACATTAATATAAAGATTAATAATGTAAATATTATAGGAAATAATAATAAAAGTAATAATAGTATAAATGATATTCATAATAATACTACTTGTAATGGAAATTTTTTTATAAATAATAATGAATCAAATACTACAAATGAAAATAATGAAAATGGTTCCATTGATATATATAAACATGAACATAGTGACTATATTTTTAGTGCAGATAATACGCATGAAAAAGCATTAAATAAAGAAATTTCAGATGATGATACAGTTCCTAGATACAATTCTGATAAAAGTGAGGATGACAATAAAAATAACATAACATTAATTAATAAAGAAGTTAGAAACCTTGATTACTTTCTAGAGGATAAGGAAAACAAAAGTAATGAAATCAGTATAAGTAATGGAAAAAACTATGTAGATATAGAAAAAAAAAAAAAAATGTCACAAAAATATAAAAGAAAAATAATTAATTTCATACGTAGTAATATATATATTAATTCATATATATATTATTGCTTTGAAAATACGGATGTAAAAAATAACCTTTTTAAAGATGATGTAATTTTAATTGATAATTCAAAAACTCAATTGGTAAATAATTTACCTAACCATATATATGAATTAAATAAATTTGTTTTTATTAAATTTATTAAATTTGAAAATTATATAAAGAGAAATCACAAAATAGCAGAAAGATACATAAAACATTTACTACAGAGTAATGTAAAATGTATAAATAATTATATGATAGGAATGAGATGGGTTCCTGATATTTTTGCATATGAATATTATGTTTGTAAAATTACTGAATTAAATTCAGAAGTAAAAGAAAATAAGAAAAATTTAAAACATAATTATTCATTAGCATTACAAAAAGATGCGAACAAAAATTCTATAAAATATTTAGTAGATTATGAAAACAAAATAATTGATAATGTTTTATGTGTTCTTCATGAATATTATCAAACAAGTTTATTCACTGAAAAATGTATTTTTAATTTATTTAAGCTAGTATTGTTGCGTGTCAGTATGTATGCAGATGTCATGAATAAAAAGATCATTACGTTAGACCTTGATAAAGCAATATATAGAATGAAAAAGTTTTCTGAACCGATAAATATAAATGATTTCTGTACATTATCCGAAAATGAAAATTTATCAACGAACAAAAATATGGATATTGATTCTAAGGATGTTTCTGAAGTAAATAAAAACAATTTGTTGAAATCATCAAATTGGAATAATTTAAGTAATGATATTAATTTCTTAGAATATACGGATGATAACATAAAAAATAAGAATAATAATATAGGCTTAAGGTATATTTACAATGATGATAAAGTAAATAAAAGTAATGATAATAATGAAGGAATTCAAATGAATCATGTTTCCGATAGTGATATAAAAAAATCAGGTAAGTCACAAGATAAATACAATAATTTATTTATTAAGAATGAGAATTATGAAAAAGAATCATCTTTACAAAATAAATATAAAAATAAAAAGAAAGTGAGCTACAATCTAGATAATACATCTATATCATTGAAGAAAAGGAAAACAAAAGAAAAAGGGTATGGTTTATTAGAAGGGGAACCATTCTGCTTAAAATATTATAGCTCGTCTGCCAACAACATGTTGGTGAACATGGAAAATCATAAGAAAGGGTATTATTCTAATACAAGTGATTTAAGTAGTAATTCTCACATTACAAAGCATAAATATCATTTACGTAGTAATAACGCTCATTCAACGGATAATTATTCATCTGAAGAATATATGACAAGAAGTAACTTAAGGAATAAAGAAAAAGGAAGAAGTAAAATGGTATATAAATTAATGAATAAAAATGGTCTGATAGAACCATATTGGTGGTTTTTTTACAATATATATACAAATACAAGTGTACAGAGTGATAAATCAGACCCACTAAAGATGAATAAAGCAAAAAATATGTCAAAGAAAGGCGAAGAAAGCATAAATTTATATAATAATTATGACAAATCTGTAAAGGGAAATGATAATGATGATTACAGAAAAATATTGAAAAAATGTAAAATGAATTTATTAAATCATTTTTGCACGAGAAATAATAAAATAAAAATTAAATACATCTCAATGGTACATGATATAATATATAAAAAATTTATTCTTTTAAAGAATACTATTTTTCCAAGGCATATGCACGAAGCAGAAATAATATTTACATTATTTCCTCATGAAGCGCAAACATTTATGTTTGTGTATACTGATGACAATTTGAATTATCAAAATCAAAATTTTCTTAAATATGTTTCTTTCAGTGATTATATAATTACATGCAACAAAATAGACGATAATAATAGAGACAAAAATAATGTTCATGAGAAAAATGTTATTTTACCTATAGAGGAGTATAATAACTCAGAAAATAATAAAACAATAGACAAAGATTTTTATATAGACCATTTTATCATAGGAGATTCAAAAGATACATCAAATGTATTAGTTGATAACAATTTTAAATATTCATATACACCTAATTATGATAAAATTAAAAGGAATTACAGAGAAGCTTATTATAATTCAAAAGAAATTAACAACGTTCAAAATTCAAACGAAAATAAATATAACATAAAGATATTGCTGAATAATGTAGAAGGAAACAGTGATAATATGACGAAGAATAACAGTAATAATGAAAAATATAAAAATAATTATATTTATAATAATAATAATAATGATATTGTAGAAAATAAATCAACAGAAAATTATCATAAAGTCTTTGATTTTGAAAAAAATAAAAGAGAAATAAAACAAAATGGATATTATGATTATTTTTTACACGACAAGAATTTGTTAAATACAACGGAAAAATTCCATAATGTTGGTGAGAAAAGAAGTGTTTCAAGTACTAATTTTGGTAGGAGTAAGTATTATGAAAATAATGTTGAAGATGAAGAAAAAAAAAACACAAGTGACAATGATATTTCTTTAATTAAAAGGAGAAGAAATGGAAGCAAAAGAGCAAAGAGTAATAATCTATCAAATGCTAAAAATTACAGTATGTATAATAAAAATGATGTAAATAATGAAGATGTGCTAATACCTATGGGGCCTTTGCCAACAGGAGTTTATTTTGATTCTGCAAGAAAATTGTGGAGATGTCAATGGAAAGAAAATGGAAAATTTAAAACAAAAGGATTTAGTCTTATACATTATAATACTTTAGAAGAAGCAAGAAAACAGTGTATTATATATAGATGTGAAGTAGGAAATATTCCTGTAAAAAGTGAATGGTTAAACCCTATTTATGTTAGTTCCTCATATTTTTTTAATAAAAAGTGTGCCAGTAGTGCTAACAATGGTGCAAATTATTCAAACAAAGAATTAAAAACTAGTTCTTTAAATTTAAACAAATTAAAAGAAAAAACAACAAATTCCAAAAGTTTTATAGATGGATCAAATAAAAATTCGAGTGAAAATTATTATAATAGTAGGTATTCTACAAAAAATAATATATCTACAAACTTTCTAAATAATGAAAAAAGTGATGATATAGACATTTCCATTTTAAAAGAATTCGTATCAAAAAATAAAGGAAATAATCCTACTTTTTTTTCGAATACAGACAAGGGAAAAACTGAAATGGATAATATTAATTCTGAAAATAATAAAATGAAAACTATAAAAGAAGAAAAAAAAGAACTATTAGATGAAAATGATAAAATACATATTAAAAATAATAATAATGACAAGATAAAAAAAGAAATTAATAGTATATTAAATGATAATATGAGAAAAAATAAATCTAATTTAAATAATGAAGAAAATATAGAAAATTTTAATAATAAATATTTAAATATTTATAATACCTCTGAAAATCCATTTTCTTTAGAAGAAAAAAACACCCATAATGAATTAAAAAATAATATTAGTATAAATAATGAAAGGCATTCACTACATAAGAGGCATAATAGTAGTGAAGTAAAAGAAGATAAATTAAACGAAATAAATTGCAAAATAGAAGATGATATAAAAAATATGTCAGATAATTGCAATATCCCATTGGAAACAAAAATTAAATTTAATGAAAATGTAAATAATCAAAATAACCCTATGAGTCATAGTGACAATGATAATAATCTTAATTATTATAATAAAAAAAAAAATGATCAAGATGGATGCTCAGAATATGACAATATTTTTAATGAAGAAATGGTAAAAGAAAAAAACAAAAATGTTCATACGTCAACCAATTCTTTTATTAATAAACAGTATTCATCAGATGTTGAAGATAGTAGATTGGATAATTTAAAGAAAAACACAGATTTGAAAGATACTTATTTTAATAAATATGCCCCAAAAGACAATCCTGGTAATTTTCAATATCATACTAATCAGGAAAGTACTCTTAATATAAGCGATGAAAGTAATATTAATAAGGAAGGATCAAACTTTCCAGAAATATTTTTTAAAGATATTCAAAATTTCTTAAATTTTGTAAAGGAAAAAGAGTGTGCAAGTGATAATACACATGCAAGTCAAGAAGAAGATCATGTAACACACATGAAAAAAAAAAACACGAATAATGCTATGTATGAAAATTACTTAAAATCAATTATAGTTCAGTATGAAAATGAGGAAAAAAAAAAGTATTATTTAAGAAACAGTGATAATTGTAATAATAATAAAAATAATGATATTACTACGAATAATGACAATGGTATAAATGATAGAAATTACAATGGTCATACTAATAAATTAAAAAGGGATGATAATAAGGATTCTCAAAATGAATCGACATATTTTAAAAATACATACAATTATTCATTTTTAAATGATAAAGAAAAATCAGCAGATTTCTTACGATATATTAAAAAAATTTCCAATAATAATAAAAGAGCAATAAATCATATTGAAGAAGAAAATTCAGGTATATTTAATAAAAGTGAAGAATGTAACAACAAATATGATTCAATTAATGACAATAATTCATTAGCAGATTGCTTTGAGAATAATTCAAAAAATTTTAGTGAAAAAAATAATTCTAACAATTGGGAAGAAGGAAATAAATCAAAACTAGATAGTCTAAAATATATGGAATTAATAAATTCAGAAAAAGAATGTAATGACGGTACACTTAAAAATGGAAATACAACAAATAAATTAATTTACAATGACCATGGTAATGATAATGGTTTAAATGAACAAAATATAAATTGCATATTAAAAAAGGATATTCCAAATGCGAAAAATAAAAATTTCAAAGAAGAAATTATTACGACTAATATAAATATCAATAAAAATAACTACGATTTTAAAAATGATGAGATAAGTAAAAGTTTAAATTACAATAAAGCATTAGAATATGATAGTAACGGTTCATTGAATATGACCAATGGAAGCATTCATTCATATTATAAAAATAACGACTCATTTAATAAAGATAAAAAAAATATGAAAACATTAGATAATAATATAAATTTAATTCAAGAAAAAAGAGTTAAAGAATCATTAGAAGACAATATTTATAATTCATTAAGTAACGATATAATAGAATCCCATAATATTACCAATATGAATAATGATAATTATGAGTCATTATCAGGACCATTGAATGTGAATAATCAAAATATTAATGACAATAATATAGAACAGAAATTAAATGAATACGATGAAAGAATGTCCTATTCCAAGAGAAAAGTTAGAACAACTAATAATAATGATTTTAAAAAGAATAATGAAAAAATTAATATAGATAATTATGATATAAATAAGAGTAATAATGAAAATGGTTACACTAATAATCATTTAGTAAATAATTCATTTAACCTTCATAATAAAAATAATAATAGTAAGAATGTCAATATTTCTGAAAATGAATTAAAAAACAGTACTCCAACTTTTGGCAAAAAAAAGAGTTTAGATATAGATATAAATTTAATTAAGCAATCATTACCTAAAGGAATTTATTATGATCATGCGAAAAAATTATATAGAGTTCAATATATAATAAATAATTCTATTAAGACAAAAGGATTTAGTGTAAAAAAATTAGGTTTAGTACAAGCAAAAATTGAAGCAGAATCTTTTAGAAACTTTTGTTTAGAAAATGGATTACTTAACTCTCGTAAAAGAAGAATAAATTCTCCATATAATAAGAAAGAAGAAAATTTTAAAATGATAAAAGATAATGAGGAAATATTATCGAATTTATTATATTTATACAATTCCAATAATAAGCCAAGATGATAATATGAAATGATGTAAAAACACACAAAAAAAAAAGGAAAAAAAATTAGTTACAAAATTGGTGTATAAATAAGAAATAAATTTATAAAAAATCTATATATTTAATTTATAATTATGTAACATTTAATAGAAGA